ACCCCCCACTGAAATGGGCGAGACAGAAGCGGAAGGTGGTTCTTAAGACAGAGGCCAATTTCAAGGCGTTTAGAAGAGGAAGTGATGAGCATTTTAATAACTAAAGGTGACATAGATAKTTTATTATGGTATAGTATTCAAATGTATGCCTGAGAAACACATAACATTGGCCCTTTAAGCAAGATACTTCGCCTGCCTTGCCTATTGATGGTGGTCAGAGGGTCCGGTGGCGGGGGGTGCATGGCAGCCTCGCCTCTGTCAGTGTGCCCCTGGGTAGCTGTGGCTACAACATAGTTTGCCACAGTCAGTGTGTGAATGTGTGAGTGTGGACTTAATAAGGTGCCATATAAGTGCAAGTCATTTACCATTTATATTCTGTTCACACTGTATGTGGATCCAGAGTGGTCAGACACGAGGAAAAGTGAGGTCGTGACAAATCAACCCTCAGATTTCTTCTACACACATCAGCATGCCAATAATCTGAATCAAAGATATTCCCTGAGGGGAACTCTTTGTCTTTATCTCCTCCATCTCGATAGGACAGAAGTCATTTCCTTGCTATCATTATTTATTCCCTGAGGGCGATGAAGAAACAAATGCTGCTTTTTTTATTCTTTGTGAAGCACGGTATAAATGACATGATAGTCGTTATATAGATGCGATGGGGACTACAACTTATCACTCAGCTGGAACTTCTACTGTAGCGGATAGCAATGAGGAAATATGAAAGCAGCTGTTCTTCCACGTCTTACTGCATATCATCTAATAAACATACTAGCATCCATCACTGGAGATAATAAATGCAATTTTCTTAGTGCAGCAGAGGTAATATTACACAACTTCAGTGAAGAAGTTCTGTTCACTTTTGAAAAAAGAAACAATCTGAACAGAAGCGCCAACAAAGCTACATTAAAATAAACAAAATAATTAGTTGCTTTGAGTTTATAGTTATTCACTTTAATCTGGATATTTTTATTGGCATGGGTAAAAATCATACACATAATAGTACAATGCACTCCACATGAACTGTTTATTCTCCTTTAGTTGTTTTTCATGATTTATTCTTTAATTTAAAATCTAGACTCAGTGGACTCTGTTACTGCCAAGCCCCTCTGTTTTTAAGCATACAGACTCCAGAAAATATCCAGCAATTTTAATCTAAATTTTAATTTTTTCTTTAGTTTGTAGTTCAAAACATTAAATAGCGAATGATTAATTTAACAGCAAAATCCACAGTAAGACTTGCTGAAAATACAACTTCATCCACAAACAATTTGACCAAATTCTTCTCTAATTAAACCTCAGAAGGCTCTGCAGTCATCTGGTATGACCATATATGCAGAGCTGGATGATGTAACCTGAAGGTCACACCATAATTGGTATTTCTGTAAATAATGGATTTATAGTTCAAAATTCTAGTCCAATAATAGCTTCACTTGACTGTTTTTAATGTAACAAAATTAGTTAAGATAATTTCGTCCTTTAACTGTGAGAAACTAATTCTTTTAATTTCTTAAAAATGTTATATATTTGTTCTATGTTGTGTCAGTTGGTAGTTATCGAGGTCAGGATTGTAGGAAAGTCATTCTTTGAATTGCTCTCTCAAAATAAATAAATAAATAAATAAATAAACAAACAAACAGCTGGTAGGATTTGAATCCTTAACATGCTGACATATCTACTTATGTCAATTGCATCATCGTTTGGCTAAATTCTTGAAGTTTTCAGCCAAAATTTCTCTTTAAWTGAGTTTTTTATGGTTCTACTCATAAATCAATAAAGCTCAGCATTGAATATTAATYAACCAAAACCCATTAAGACCCTTCCTCTGAGTAGGACACTGCCATGTCAACAGCATTTTATGATTATCCTAACTCCAGCAAGAATCATAATTAGAGTAAGCAATGATGAAATTAGGATGTGCAGAATATGTCAGTCTGTAGACAAGCACTAACACATTTTTAGTCCACTTAACATCCCACTACAGTTCTCACAGCATCATAAGGCTCTCGTTGCTGATTTATGGTTAAAAAAAAAGCACAAGTGAGAAACTCAAGTAAAGCTCTGTGTTTTGAGGGATTCAAAAGTAATTAAAACTTTAAATGAATAAAAGGAAACTTGCAATGACTTCAGTGATGAGTCATGAATAAATCAGATTATGCTTTAAAACAAAAGAGGTGAAAAATATTTACTTTAAGGATTGGAATGTAGTTCCTAGCTATACTATTATATCTTGTCCACAGATTAAATATTGGGTGATAAAACCTATAAAATGATAAACATCTCAAAAGTTTATCGTATTTAGAGTAAAGATTCCCAGATGACAGGTAAATAAAGAATACTATACCATGTCATTTCGTCCAAAGAATGTGTAGACAGCATAAAGATAATAGTCAAAGAGTTGGGATACGCAGTGAATGACATCAAAGGCAATGGGCTTCAGGATGTTCATCATCTGCATGTACTTTCCTGTATGAAGAGAAAAATATACAGTTACTGTAAATACTTGGCTAATTTGACAAAAATAAATAGTGAAATTGCATGGCCTTGATTGTTTCCTACAGTGCTGTTACAGAGATGAGGGAGGTTGACGGAGTGATCGATGGCATAATTAGGRCAATATAAAGTATTTTTAAAATAAAATCTAATTTGATCCAAATCAACATCACATCAAACATTTGTGGGCTGAACGTCATTCCATTGACAATCATCTATTGTGCTGTAAGGTTTGGTTAAAACTGCTTCATTAACTGGTGTTTTGTTTGGTTTACAAATAAAATTGAAGTATTTATAAGTAAAAAAAATAATGGTGGAAAATTTTATTTAAATATCTGCTATTGGCTGGCCCGAATGCTAAAAATCCTCCTAGGCATCAGCCATCGCAGAACCCTAATGAAAAAGGAAAAACATCCGCCATGTTTCCTTTTATTTAGGCGTGAGCCTTTTTACAGCCTCAGCACTGGCTTACAGAGAATAAAATGATTCCGATTTTAAGTAAATTTTTTCAGACATTAAAACGGTTAAGCCAGAGTAAGGTAATCATGGTGGAACTACATCCTTTAGGGAAGAACTTAAGCAGGAGCATGCTACATTTGCATTTAAATTGCAAGGATTTAATTTAGCAGAAAGGTAATAAAAGCTATAAATACGGAGGTACAGGGGTGTAACAAGGTTACCACTGACTAAGAGCTTGTGAAGGGAAGAAAAGGAGAAGAAATAAACTCAATCTTGCTGGCTTTGCCTCTGGAGAGCACCATTTCTTACACATTTTTCTTTACACACTTTCTGTTAAATTCTTTAGCAAGTAGGCTGACGTCAATCTACTTCCATCAAAGTCCGGCGGATACTTTATTACAAGTGACTACAAGATATCAAACATGAGATTTTCTTTGCTTCAAATTATTTCAGAACTCTAAAATGAATAAAATTCAACATGGGATAAAAAAATGGTTATTATGTATTGTACTTTATGCACATGGACACAGAGAATCAAACAGAGGATCATTGTCCTAACCATAAGTCATACGACCCAAATCCAATGAAGTTGGGAATAAAAACAGAAAATGATTTGCAAATCCTTTTCAACCTATATTCAACTGAATACACTACAAACACAAGATATTTAATGTTCACCAGAAAGATAGGCAAATTCTGATTTGTCCATGAAAGCAACATTGCAGGAGCCATATAATCTAAAAGCACAGTTTGTCAACGTGGTGTCTAAAAGTCTTCAAAGCCACACCACAAAGACATGTAAGCAGCATTTAGTAAAAGGAGGTCAGAGCTCAGGGGGTAGGCTAACCATTAACAGTGCAGTTCAATCACACAGACACGGAGCATGCCAATCACAACGATCTGTTTCATTGATGACTAAATAGAAATCTCAGCAGGCCAGAGGAGACGTGCTGCAGCTAAGTGGGAGCTCCACTACTGGAGAGGCTAGTGCTAGAAACTGTGTGTTTGTATGTGCACAAAACCTACCGACAAGACGGATGACGTTGAGGGTGGTGTTAGTGAGAATCGGGGCGCTGGCCTTACTGAGGTTGTAGTCGGACTTCTTCTTGCTTCTTATGGTCTCTTTGGACACGCTGACGCATTCAAATGAAAAAAAAAAAAAAAAACGTCAGAGAAGCGACTCAGCTATTCATGTTAATAGTGCTAATCTTCTGCAAATGACAAGCAGGGGTCAAAACCTATAGTGTGGTCCGAGATTTTTAATTGATCTATCAGAACCCGCTGCACATGGTAGGGGGAGGCAGACGGACCCCAGTGGTGAAGTCACTGAACCGGTGATCCTGGAGCACCAAGAGTCCTGACATAAAGCTCGCCGAGGCAAATTAGCCTGCAGTCATTACATCGGCTGCAGTCAACGCATGGGCTGTCTTATTCCTGGACGTGAACACGCAGCCCATTCAATAATTAACCATTAGAACTACCCGCTTAAAAGAATAGGAAATCAGCATTTTGGTGACCATCTGTCAGGTGTGTCAGATTAATATAAATGAGCTGCTGTAGTAACAGTTAAAGTGATATCAAGCAAGTAACAAGGCACTGCGCTTAAACATCATATTTATGATAAATAATACACTGAACTCGCATGACAGATTATCATTATGAGAACAAGGACTTTGTAATGAGGAGATCCTGAATTATTTATAACGAATGTGATTTGTTTGTAAATCAGGTGGGACATTTAAAGTCAGCACATGTAGGTATCCTTCTCATTAATTTGATTTATAAGCCCTAAAAACCTGTTTTAAAAATAATCAAAAAGTAAAACGGAATAATACAATCACGTTGCCTTGAGTAAATTACCCAGTTTAGGCAGCTATTAATACCATCACACATGGAGATGACCTAAAATAAATTGCAGTGGTAGGATTCTAAAATGGTGCAGTTTCGGCAAATTTGAAGCTTATTATAATTCATTACTTTCTAACAATAAAAGAGGGGGGAAATAGCTTCTTCAATTGCTTCAAATGCCTCTTTCAAGCGAAAGTGGATTATTTCAAACAAGATGGAAAAAAGTGGATTATTACCTTCAATATAATTGAATAGTGACTAATTCTTCAAAAGTCGGCAACCTTGTAGGTGGCAGAAAAGATAGATAAATTTTCATAAAAAAAATTAAAACTAAAAAAAAGGTTTTTAGAAAACTTTTTTGCCAGTGAAGTAGTGTTCGGAAGAGATGAGCTAAAATTGTTACCAATGAAGTAAAAAGTGGCATGAATGAAGACATTTTAGATTATTGAACATGAGTTCTAGGGCTGCAACAATTAATCGATTATCCATCCATCCATCCATCCATCCATCCATCCATCCATCCATCCATTTTCTTCCTCCTATCCGGGGTCGGGTCGCGGGGGCAGCAGCTTCAGAAGGGAGGCCCAGACCTCCCTCTCCCCAGCCACTTCTTCCAGCTCCTCCGGGGGAACTCCAAGGTGTTCCCAGGCCAGCCGAGAGACATAGTCCCTCCAGCGTGTCCTGGGTCTTCCTCGGGGCCTCCTCCCGGTGGGACGTGCCCGGAATACCTCACCAGGGAGGCGTCCAGGAGGCATCCTTACCAGATGCCCAAGCCACCTCAACTGGCTTCTCTCGACGTGGAGGAGCAGCGGCTCTACTCTGAGTCCCTCCCGGATGACCGAGCTTCTCACCCTATCTCTAAGGGAGAGCCCAGCCACCCTGCGGAGGAAACCCATTTCGGCCGCTTGTATCCGGGACCTCGTTCTTTCGGTCATGACCCAAAGCTCATGACCATAGATGAGGGTAGGAACGTAGATCGACCGGTAAATCGAGAGCTTCGCTTTCTGACTCAGCTCTCTCTTCACCACGACGGACCGGTACAGCGCCCGCTTTACAGCAGACGCTGCGCCAATCCGCCTGTCGACCTCCCGCTCCGTTCTTCCCCCATTCGTGAACAAGATCCCCAGATACTTAAACTCCTCCACTTGAGACAGGGCGACCCCCGTGACCCGGAGAAGGCACTCTGCCCTTTTCCGGCTCAAGACCATGGCCTCGGATTTGGAGGCACTGAGCCTCATCCCAGCCGCTTCACACTCGGCCGCGAACCGCTCCAGCGAGAGCTGCAGATCTCGTTCCGATGAAGCCAACAGGACCACATCATCCGCAAAAAGCAGAGATGCGATCCTAAGGCCACCAAAACGGATCCCCTCAACACCTCGGCTGCGCCTAGAAATTCTGTCCATGAAAGTAGTGAACAGAATCAGTGACAAAGGGCAGCCTTGGCGGAGTCCAACTCTCACTGGATTAATCGATTAATCGACGACTAATCGATTATTAAAATAATCGATGACTAATTTAATAATCGATTAATCGTTTTCTTTTTTTTTGCTCTTTACTTTGTTTTTCTCTCCAAACTGCTTTGACACCTTCCACTGCCACATCTGCCTTTCTGTCCTTGACACACATGCACAGTAGTGGTAACTGGGGTAGGCCGTGGACGTCACAAGACATTATACAGACAGGCTCTGGTATCATGGCTACCCAGCAACAGAGCTCAAAAGTGTGGGATCATTTTAAGAAAATGAAAGAAAAACCTGTGCAATATCTGTAAGGCAGAACTCGCCTTCCACAGCAATTATTTTTAGTTAGCATATAGCTAAAATCTAACGATGGTTATATAATAGCAGCTGCAATCTGGCACGATAAGTTCTATGTTTTATATTCAATTAACGTATGATCCGATTAGTCGACTAATCGAAAAAAATAATCGGTGATTAATCGATTATAAAAAAAATTGTTTGTGGCAGCCCTAATGAGTTCCTCTATGTAACTTTTTATTTTTTTTTCACAGCTGAATAATGGTAATCTGAACAATAATCTGAGCTGTGTCAGTTTGGTGTGACAAACTCACCTCTTTAGAGGAGTGTCACCCGTCTGCTCGTCTACGTAGTCCTGCTTTAGTTCATCGGGGACGTCGCTGTCACTGTCGTAGTCCTGATACACGCTTTTCTCCAGCTCATCCGACTCATACTAAGAATAAAAAAGATAAAGATCAGTGAAGATAAGGATGAGATAGACCCTACTGAGAAAATGTCAGAGCAAAAAATAAATAAATAAATAAATAAAAAGTGGCCATAAAATGGCTGGCTTCAGGTGGAGAAGCAGAAAATTCATTCATGTTTCAGATCAAAGTCAAGAAGAATTTCTCCTAAAAAAAATAAAATAAACCCATTTTCTCTTAAGTGCAGACTCAATGAGCACTATGACACTTTGGAGGACTTAAAAGCTTAAGGGCACTCCAAAATGATGGCATCTGTAATTTTGAAAAGGATACTGAAACTATTTTAAGTATTAAACTTTCTTTTTCATTTTAAGCATCATAAAATAAAAGTCAACATGTCAGAAAACCTGTGTAACTCAGGAGACATTTTTTTAACTAGGTTATGTATCGGCAAGAATTTGTTCATATGATACATATGATATGGGGTCACGATATGATGTATCGCGATATATTGTGATCCTATAAGCAAGGCGATATATCAACATTTTTTTCTCCAAAAGACTAATCTTTAAACCTCAGTATAGAAAGCACATCATACATAATATGCATAAAGTCTGATTAAATTTGGTTTGTTTGTATGCAATCAGAATAAAAACTTATATAGCGAGAACTGCATTTGTATTTCTTACATCCATCCAGGCCCTAATTAATAATAAATACGATGTTTTAGAGCAGAGATTCTTAATCCATGGGCCGCGGCCCACAAACGCCACCTTGAGGGCATCAAAAGAACAACAGTTTTTAACTTTGGGCAGCAGAGGGCCGTGGGACCGTATTGATTTTGAATAAGGTGCAATACTCTCTCACCACTAGTAGCAGTAGTGAGTCACTCAGTTGTTTAACAACTTTTTAATATGTATATGAAGAACCTGCCAAGAATGGAAACCTATTTTAAATGAAAAGCAGAAGCAAAAATGAAAGTAATTTACTTTCACAGATTTTTTTTAATTTGAAACATTTACATTGAACATTTGTTAATTTATTTATTTTATGCCCACAATTTTACTTTTTGAATTGTCTATTTTTATTATTGTTTATATTAAAAATGTATATATACAGTATATGTGCTCAGAAGCCTGAGTGGTCTGTTGACTGATTTTTTTATTTGAAACATTTACATAATTTTTTTTTAATTTATTTATTTTATGCCCACAATTTAATTTTTTGAATTGTCTATTTTTATGTTCTGTTACGTTTTTGTATTATTGTATATCTTAAACTGCATTGACCTAGCCTGGCCCTTGCCTTCCTACGCAGCTCTTCTCTGCTCCGTCTYGGACTTCTCCCATTGAGATGGATTTTGCTGGCAGATTTTTAGCCGGGCCAATCAGAGAACAGAACATCAATTTTCTGCGCAGTGTCTGCTTGTAGTTTATTTTACCTGGGCCAATCAGAGAACAGAAGGAGGAGTTTTGAACAACGTCGATGTTCTGCGCAGTGTCTGCTAGTTATTTTAGCAWASAGCAGTGGAGGAAGTGAATGAAGCCAGTCTGTGTTGATAAGGCTTCCAAATTAAATTAAATTTGTCTGACAAAACAGCAGCTCTCATTTACAGTCGTCTTGTTCGGCTCGGTACTTTTCTCCTCTCAGTAGGGTTGTTTACAGCACACGCGATTTCCTGTTAGCTTCTTAGCTTAGCCTCCGTCACAGCGACATACGTCGCAGCCAACTGATCCAATCATTTTAAACTTCAGCAGAGGCCACGCCTCCTGCAAGAAACGCTTCTCTATGCATCAAGTCCAGACCCTTGTACGAAGCAAAGTGAAGGACAGGGTCTGGTTTTAAACAGGCCAGCATTGACCTTGTGTTTGATTTACAATTTTAGAAATTAATTTCTTGACTTGATGTTTCAATTTTTCATTGCTTATGTTTATTTATGTTTTTCTGTTTCATTTTATTCTTTCCACCATTTCTATACTGTTAATGATTGTACAGCACCTTGTGAATANTGTATATATACAGTATATGTGCTCAGAAGCCTGAGTGGTCTGTTGACTGATCTTAGTATTTGTTCAAATAATTGTTATGGGCAGGTTACAATATAAAAACGTTTGTCATAATAATGTCTTGTGATTATTTGACAGGAGTTTTACTTTTAAACTGTAAGTGTATTTAGTTTAGTTATGTTAGTTATGATAGTTTAGTTATAATGCAAACACGATAAATTTTAAACCAAGATTTAGAATAATTATCATTTTGATCCGTACATTGGTAATGTGTGACTGAGCCTCGTGCCACTTTATGTTCAACAAATTGGGCCCCGAGGTCAAAAAGGTTAAGAACCCCTGCTTTAGAGGATCAATACAACAAAATATTGCAACATTTCAGTGTATTGATATTTTCTTATAACCCTTTTCTTTTACAAACAAACCTAAAAGAAACATCTGATTTTGCAACTATAAGGAGTTATAGTGTACATCACCAAACTATAATGTCAGGAAGCTTCGAGTGTTACATTTTGTTTCCCAACTTTTTTTTATTTTTTGCATTTCACAATGACCAGCTGAGTGTAATTCAAGCCTGAGCTGTGTGTTAAAGTTAATAAGAATTTTAACTTAAAGAGAACAGTGTGACAATAATAATCAGAAGGAAACACACATATATTGGAATTTGTGTGCTTTTAAGGCGACCGCTGTGAGAAGTTGTTTTATTTTTCATATCAACTGTGGTTCAGCTCCCCACGCCATGCTGCCACACTGGAGTAGACCTGGAGGAGGACATTGCTTGAATGTAGCTTTTAAGTCCACGCACATTATAAACTTATACCACTTTAGCTACGGCTCATCTCTTCCTCCCCCTCATCAGTAAATACACCGGCTTTTATCAGACATGCTGACACATACGATCACATCGCCTGCAGGAAAACAGCTATTTCCTCTCAGTCTCTTCGCAACCAGCACCAAACTTTGATACAATTTGAGTAAGAACTAAACATGCATCCCTTTCAATTAGTGCTGGGCGGTATACCATTTTGAACCGAATACCAGTTTTTATTTTTGTTATGATATGAATTTTTTGAATACCGGACATTCCGGTTTAAATAGCGGAACGTTTCATCGTGGCCACCAGTGAACTGTTGTTTCCCGGGGGACATTTTTCCTTGCTGCACCGCTATGAGCGTTAGCATGCTAATGTTTGGAGCAGCTAGTTACAGCCGCCGGTGGCGATTCCGCTGCTTATACTGACTGATGTTTAAAAAAACATCCCGTTTTCGCCGTCGCTGAATGTAGTAAACACCTCTTCAGTGACGTGCACAGTTAGATTTAACGCGGTTAGTTAATATGGAGACGTTATGCTGATGGAGACTTAACGTGCTTCAATTGTGAAAAGTCCGCATGAAGTAGTTCGTAGTGGATTTAGAATTGACTGGTGTGCAAGGTGAGTCGTGCTGATAAGCTTTAATAAATAACATAAAATAGACCCGATCATAATCTTTTCTTAACCCTCCTCCTTCACGACTGGACCAAAATGCATGACTACTGTCTCCAACCACCAGTCAGAGAAGAACAGACAGAGGAGGGAAACAGAGACACAGACAGAGGTACAGTTAAAGAAAAAAGTCAATAAGCAGGCATACAGTACATGTCAACCTCTTCGGACGTTTACTTTTATAAAAAGCCTCAAAAATCCGTACAACTCAAGGCTGGGTGGGGGGGGTGGGGGGGCTGCGGACATGAAAGCGCCCACTGAGCAGCAGGAGGAGAGGAGAGCGGACAAAGTTCAAAACTTATTTCTAGCGGCAGAACAGGTTAAAAGATGGCTGTTTTATGTTGTTTATTGGTTTTTTTAAATCATCCTATAGGCTCTGACATGTTAGATAAATTTGAAAATCAGGTTTTGAAAAAATCTGTAAGACTTGAAAAGATTCGTGAGATTGCTCTATACACCCGTACACCTGCAAAATGACGTTAAATCCTTATAACTTACAATCTGTTCAAGTTGACATGTATGAGCAGGGTTTGTACATTTTATTATCAGCTGAGCTGTGATGAAAAGAAAAATACCGTCAAACACCGTGAAACCGGTGAAAATGTTGAAAATACCGTGATATAAAATTTTGATCATATCGCCCACCCCTACTTTCAATGCTAAAGGAACTTTAATCAGTTACTAAGAAGTTTAACTGTTATAAACTTTTTAACAACTCGGACTGAATATGTGGTATGGTGGTGCAGTGGATAGAGCTATCGACTCACAGCAAGAAAGTCTGAAACTCTGCTGCAACATTTCTGTGTCGACCAAAAACTTGTTAGGTTAATGAACTCTAAATTGTCCTCCTCATCTTGTACTCCCAGCACTAACAGATCACAAGATATTTGTTTTTAATTTTGGCATGCAAGGTGGCAGGTGAAACATTCCTTCAAGAAATGCTTAAGTTAAACAATAAATACTCATAAAAATCACACGTTCTTATACTCAAAATCAGATTTGTTTTGCAACATTCTGATTAACACAMCTTTTTTCTTCTGAAAATCAATTTTCAACACCAACCCCATTAGATGCGAGTACATCCTCGGTCTCCTCCTCCTTGTGATCAATGTGCATCTCAAATGGATTTCCATCCTGAAGGTACAGCTGAAACAGGGACAACTCCTCCTGGGGTGGGACGGTCGAGGACACAGACTGTCTGCTCGGGGAAATGGACGGAGAGTGACACTGGCCCATGAACTTGAACTCCTGGGTTGGGGAGGACAGGACATGGAGATGCAGAAAGGCAAACAGATGAGATGCAGAAGGTAAAGAAGAAGGCTCAGCATTACACATCTCAACTCGTTACCAATTACACAAGTCTTACAAAATAAAAGTTTAGCTCACTACTTCAAACTAAATGCAGTTTCGCCCAGGTTAAAAACAAAAAAGGAAATACGAAAAAAATACATTCGGTATCTGTGACGAAAACAGTTTTGAAAAAACAAGCTGAACATACAGAGCACATTGTTATCTCTTCTACAGGTTGATTGTAGTACACAGACATGAAACATTAGCACAACCCTCAGGAGAAAAGCACAAAGCTGCTCAACTTTCAAGATTTTATTTCTCTTAAGTGTTGCCCAAGAGCGTGGGAAATAAAATTCCCCAGTGTACATATCAGGAGGGGACAACAGTCGTTTGATGCTCATGTGTGTTACGTAATGTGCAGCGAACACACATACACACTCATGGAGTCTCATATCCTTATGCAAATTTCACAACTTTTATGTGTGCGATTACTGAACGGTGTGAAAAAAAAAGCTCCTTCACGTTGCCTTTTTCAACTCAGTGATGTGTTTCTTACTCACATGGAGCTGGGCAATGTTAAAGTTAGACTTGACTGGACACAGCTCCCACGTCTCATTTTCCAGAAACATCCTCAGCTCCTCCAGCCGTGCCCTTTAGAGGATGTGCAAAGAAAAAGCAAGAGGAAAAAAGATAAGAGAGACAGAAAGAAAAAGGCCCAAGGTAAAGTGTCTGGAGGGGCACTGAGTAAACACACAAACAAACAAACAAATCCAGTAAAGGTTACTAACGCGCAGCTGGAAAACAGGTGTGTCTTGTAACATGCTTCGATTTATCAACACATCAGAACAGCCACTCTGCTGCTCCACTGTCAAGTTAATATCAGCTCTTTGTGTGTGAAATGTCAAAGCAGTGCTGGCATCGAACACTGCAGCTCTGCCTTTTCTTCTTGTGAAGGTGTTTGAAATACGAGAGGCGACAGAAAACAGGGAGGCTAAGATTAAGATGAGGTAAGGCATGTGACTGACTTCAGAAATGAAAATGACACTTGATGATTATGCTCGTTGCTGCACGCAAATGATGCATAAAGTTTATTCATGAAGGGCTGTGGGAAGAAGGGGCACAAAAGTGCTGCAGCATCTTGAAGACATGCATGTCTAAATGCATAACTGAAGGATCTATGAAAAAACTTAAAGGTTTAAATTCTGATAACATTTTCGTATTTTTGAGTTTTGTAAATATTTGTAAATATTTGAACCAATATGCTATATATATCTGAGTATATTAATTTTCTCATTAAATTCCACAAAACAGGGAGCAGATTAGCATTAGGTCATCTAAAGTGTACGGTGCATTTTTTTCTACCCTCATTAGCTGTTTAAATGTAATGCATACTGAGCTGGATGCCGTCTCAGATGTCAGGGCCTMAAGGTGCTGCTGCTCTGTTCCTCCTCCTCGATCTTTTTCCTCGCTCTCGGGGTCCATCACATCTTACTCGCTTTTCCAGTTACTGGTGCAATTTCACACCCAGATCACCTCCATCTCATCACCTCAAACTTTGTGTTGAATCCCATTATGTGTCCTCCATCTCTCTCTCTTCTTCACAATTTTGAGTCTTAAAAGGGCTTGGATTGTGTCAAAGACTTTCTATTTCAAGTTAAGGTTAGCAGGAGGGGTTATATAGAAAATATAACGTTATAGCAAATTTGTATTAATTATTTTAAAATATATATATATATATATATTTTTTTTTTACTTTTATAGTTAATCTATGGCAAATTGTAAAAAAAATCAGCTCGAACTTAAACAAACAAAAAAAAGGCAGCTGGCTCATCTCACCTGTGATAGTTTTTGAAATAGTTAACACTCTGGCGTTTGATGGACTCCTGCAGGACTTCTGACTTGCTGCCACAGAACTCCTCACCCACCTGCATCAACCTGAAAGAGAACAAGGTGGAAGCAGTAAATTTTAAATGGAAGGTTTGTTGCACTGCTGAAGATTTACAGAGGCACATTTTAATTGCAAAACACGGATGTTTTTATTGCTGTTTTAGTAGGTGAAAGCATGTTTTAGAAGATAGTATAACTATGGTTTTATCAGCAAACATCTAAGCATCCTTAGGGGCTTAGGTGACAGAACTAGTTATTATGAAAACTTTAAATTAAAGGCTTGAAAATATAAACTCTAATCTTGTTTCTTGACACTTTCACACTGCCCAGATTAACAACAGGCTTTATCGCTAAAATGAGCTGAGCAACAATAAGTTGGTCTATAAATGAAAAACTGAGATGAAGAGGGGTAATTTTCTATTTGGTGTATTATATTTTATTATAGCAATATTATAATCTGAGTAATTTTAATCATTACCTTGTTAAGTTAAAATTTCAGCTTTTTGCTAATACAGAAAACCATTTAGTTTCTTATATTTTTTGTGTTTATCTAATTTCAGTCGATCAGTGAACGGCTTTAAGAGAAACTTCCTCTACTCCACCTGATTAATATAAAAAAAGAAGAAGGGGACAGCGACAGCAAGACAATGAAGACCAATTAGTGGAAAATGAGAGTGAGTCAGCTGCGCTGATCCCAAGGCGTACCTGCTGATGACATCCAGTACCACAATGAAATCATCGTATTTGAAGTTAGACATGTCTGTACCAAGAATGTACGCCTTCACTTTTAGCTGGACATCCTGGGGGAAAGAGAGAGTAAATCAGAGAGATGCTTATGGGAGGAGAATTTTGAGTGAGGTGAAAACCTAAAGGGAAATGATTTGTGGGGGGGAGGGGGTGTATTGGAAGCACAAAGGGAAAAAGAGATAATGCTTCTTTACAAACCTGCCAGATCCGTGTGAGCCCATGCTCGAGCTTTTTCTTCACATAGCTTCGGTCCACACTCAACTCATCGGACTCCGCTGCTGCGTCATCTACAGATAGACAAAAAGGACACAATGGAAGATTAGAAAACTAGGAGACAAACGTCTGGCAGCTCTTTATATAAGACTCAGTGCTTTATTTGCATAATGAAACTGGACTGCATCAACCTCCTTTCCACAAGTGATGGGTAAAAAACATACACTATGAGCTTTTAATAACGGCTAGAAAAATATCATTGTTTTATTGCAATTAAAAACATATTACTGAAATCAAAAGTCCTTTACTGTCACCTGAGAACAGCTGTCAGTGGTGGAAGCCAGTCAACATTCGAGGAGCATGAAGCTCATAAACCCCCAACAAAGATGAAAGACTGACAGCCGCTTAAAGGCCGACAGGACAGAGCGCTGCATGTCCAACAGCAGATGCTGGAGCCCTGTTCACTGTCAGACACGATTCCTCCTCTGTCATCAGCTCTCTATCCTTTCTGTTGTGTCTGTGCTGCTTTCATTGTCTCCGACAGACTGCTGTGTGGTGCAGTGTCAGAGCAGCATCAATACTTCCCGTTAGCTGGAAATTGCTTCAATAAATCTCAAGCTGCTTCCCCCTGTATGGAATGGATTTTTAGAAAAAGCCAGAAGCTGTAAGGCTCTAAGTCAACAAACAACCGACTGTCAATCCAGCACCACACTACATTACTGAGCGCATCGATTATCCCTAGTTTAGGATAATTTATGCTATACTAATAAAGACACAATAGAGCCCTGTTATGATTTTAAAGTTCTATTAACTCTGACTTTAATCTATAAAACAAGAGCTTCCTCACAGGTGGCTTTCAAAAATTGCTCCAGAGACCCTAGCATCGCTGGTCATAATCTGAGGCATATATATATATATTTGACAGAGCTGTTGGAAACAATTGTGAGATCCACCGAAAGATAAAAGAACCCAGGGCTTGGGAGACATCTTGACATGGCGTCTTGACATACAGAGGTTTCAGTTTAATGAGCACAACTATGGCTTTGGAAGTCATGGGTTCTGAGAAACAGAGAGCCAAAGAAGTAGTGCTGGGTGAAGGGAGGGAAAAAATTGTCTGTGAGAGCTGAAATTTTTTTGAGAAATGTGAGAAAGCAGGGACGGCTAATGATTAATTGATTAGACAATTTATACAAAAGTGAGATGAATAAGTATTGCTACTGCAGTATTAAATACCCATTCCAGCCGTCATCGATTCCCTCACTCATCTCTGTTCAAACAAATTGCAAATGTTGATTTTTTTAATACAAAAAGAACAGCTCTAAAACAGTTTGGGGTAGAGCTATATATTTTTTCTTCTTTCAATGAATGGAGATTTATGAATACGGCAATGTGTGCAGCTGATACTAAAAACTCCACCATGCTGTATAAAGGCAACTGAGCTGATTATTGTTTGGCCCAGAGTGTGGTTATCAAGAAAAGGCAGAGCGACTGTAATTATACACYATCAGATGAGCGGAAGTATCAGAGTGATCACATATTTACGTTTTAATTACTTTTATATTAGAAAAGGAACTGCTGCTGTATGTTGATGGCAGTTTATTTATACTTTACAAACAAGAAAAGCTGCATTTAAAATACTACAAAGTACAGATAACAAATCTGTCAAGATATATTTGAGTAAAAGTGGGTCGTTATGAGTATTTTTTAAAGATCTGAAGAGGTTTTATATGGAGAAGTAAAATTCATAAAACAGGACTAACAACTGTAAAAGGAACATCTAAAAGTTGTCTGGTTGTCTGACCTCAATGATGGAAAATGATGTTTTAAATGTTCCAGGAGATAAGATAAGCCAAACCATTAAGAACCTTAGAAACCAACAATAACTCCATCCTGCACCAGGCAGGAAGTCAGCGAAGTGAGGCCAACATTGGTGTTATACGCTCACATTTTCTAGCTCCTGATGAGATTTTTAGGAATGTGCTCAGCCGGTAGCATCATGCTAATGTTAGCCAAATATCAGATGAATGTCAGATATCAGACACTTAGTTTGTACTCAAAAGACCAAACAACTAAAACTAATCACAGCTACCAAGTTTCAAGTACGGAGAGCAAGACTTGTGGGATTTAAATTTAAAAGCAGCTAAAGAACCTCTGGGCTCTGAAACCAGTGTCAGCATTCAATTTGGTTAAAAGTTGGCTGCGGTGCACTGACACACAGCCAACACATCAAACTGCTCTCCATTTAGCCAAAAGCAGAATGTAACTTAATCCTAAAATGAAATTTTGAATAAAACAAATGTAATCTCTTCAACAAACTATTCTTCAGCTCCTCTCATAGACACAAATCCTTTATAGAACTATTTCAGTTATTTACACACATTCTCCTGTTAGTGTAGTTTCAAGATGTTGAAATTTTTTAGACTTCAAACAAGGTTAAATAGATAAAAAGTATATTGCTTTAGAGAAGTAATAGATAAGTCAGCCTTTGCCTGTCCTTCAGTTGTAAACAGTATTTGACATTTAGAGGAAATATAACAGATTTTTCTCATTCAAAGTAAAGTAAAAAACCTTCGACTTCCCAATGCTTTCAAACCTACAACTGTTTTGCAAAAGAAAAGTAAAAAACTGAGAAAAAATGAGGCTCACGTTAAATTTTTCAAACAGGCTAAACTATATTGATTGGAAAAATCTTAAAAGGGGCAATATTATGTATTTCTCCATACTGTATTTCTTCCATAATAAAGTATCTATGTCACCTTTAGTCAGTGTGCATTGCCAATGCAATGCACACTATTGTGATTTGTTTCCCATCCAAGTCATCTCAACTTTGCCATGCTTCTCCTCCTGCATACTTTGTCCTAGAGCTGCCATTGTAATTTATATCTGTAAAGCCCCTGTGCCAAATGATAGCTATGCCTTTTGGTGCCTGTAAAACTTATAGATTTTTGAAATATTAATGTTTAATAAATTATAATGGCAGTCAATGGAGCCTTGTATTGGTCCAATACTGCCCCCTGCTGCATCTACACAATATGGTACTGGACCATAGTTTCATAATATTTAAACTCAGTAGTTCAATGATTATAATATTAATATGATTGTATTTTGATGTTTTATTGTAATACTGTCTTTATGCTGTCCTATTGCTGTAATATATTGCACTTAAGTGTCAATAATTGCATTGGCAAGGTAAACTTTTTCTGTATACATACAATCCAATCCCTGGGATTGTCCTCTGTCACATCTCCTTTAGTCTCATGATGAGCACTGTGGGCTTTCATGCGGGAGATCAGGGTTCAAATCCAGCTACTGCAACTTTAACAAAAATCTCTTCAAACTTCATATTGCCACACAATTACCTTAATTACAAACACTGGCTGACATGACAGGCACAAGCTGGTATAGAAAACACATTTAAACTTGGTCAAAGTTCATTCTGAAAGTCCAATGCTCCTGCCTACATTGTCCTACAGCTGCCATTGTGATTTCTATCTGTAAAGGTCCTGTGCCAAATGATTGCTTTGCCTTTTGATACCTGTACAACTTGTAGTTTTTGAAATATTAATGTTTAAACTTTATTCCAAATTCATATAATGGGATTCTATGGGGCCTTGTAATGGTCCAATACTGCCCCCGGCTGTACTCAACTTGGTACTGCACCATAGTTTTTTTTATATATAATCTCAATAGTTCAGTGTTTACAATACTAATATGATTGTATTTTGATGTTTTACTATAATATTGTCTTAATACTGCGCTATTGTTGTAATATTATGCATTTTTGGCAATAATTGTATTGGCAATGTGGCCTCTTTCTGCACACACACAAAGCAACCCCTGCCACCACATTTTGCCACAGCTCCATTGGTCTAACGGTCTGTCATGGACTTTCATGTGGGAGATCAGGGTTCAAAACCCAGCTAATGCAACTTTAACAAAAAATATCCTCCAACTTCATATTATCACTCAATTACCTTAATTACAAACACCTGCTGACGTGACAGGCACAAGCTGGTATAGAAAACACATTTGAACTTGGTCAAAGTTRATTCTGCAAGTCCAATGCTGCAGGCAAAGCCATGCTGCAATGACATGCTACATGGCAATGCACACTTGTTTTTACATCGTAAAAACCCATGTCTAGTTGTTAATAAAATGCTGTTTTTATGTTTAAATAGAAAATAAACTTATCTTCTCATCACTTCCTCTTCTAAACGCCTTGAAATTGGCCTCGGTCTCTTTAATAACCACCTTCCACTTCTGTCTCGCCCACTTCGGTGCGGGGGGAGGGGGGGTTTCACGAGGGGGAGGCTGCTATGATGCATTTTAATTGGCATCTGAAAATACCTTTCCTCAAAGGTATTTTTAATCTGAAAAGAGCTTCACTGAATGAGAACTAATGTTAGGAGCTCCGCAGACAGTTTAAGTTTCACTTGCACTTTCACCCGAGAGCCTGCAGGAGTCATGGGCGGGGTGTATGGGGAGGGGGGGGGCACCCCGCCATGAGGAGGTTTGGCTTAAAAACACGTCCCAGGGGCATTTCTGGTCCCAAAAGGCGTTTCTGGTCCCCTCCAGTCGTTTTGCTCCTCAGCATGGCTGCCTAAAAATGCTGCAG